CAGAAGAGGCCCTCCTTGCTGGTGTGGCTGCATCAAGTTCATAGGAGCTGCTGCTTGGCTACAAAAAGATCAAATAGTGTAAGAACAAAAGGATGAATTCAAAGCAGCAGCAAATAGTCAATATTAGGACATTGGTTACCTCATGCCTATTCTTTCTCATTGCCAGTGATGGATTCAAAGCAACATTACAGTTGGTGTATCTATGGCCAACCTTTTTGCAATTAGAGTAGGTAATTAAGGCCATTTTTGAGGTGTCTTTGGGAGCTGGCTTCTCATATTGGCCCTTTCTCCTCTTAGTCTGTGCCCTTCCCTTGTGTTCTTTGAAAACTGGAGCCTCAATGTCCATACTGTCTGTCCTTGGCCACATATCAGGTCCAGGTACATGATATATAATGGGACTATAAGCTGCCAGGTGCATCTTTTTTTTTGAAGAAATCATGAACAAAGTCCTCTGGCTGAAGCTTAGCCTTGTGTATGGCAGAAATAGCATGATTGCAAGGAACTGCTGTCATATCCCACTTCTTGCACCCACAAGTCTTATGTTGTAGGTTCACAGCAAGTTCTCTCCCCACTAGTGACTTGGTAAAGATTGGGCCCAGCCATCAAAGCATGACAGTTCCTTGCAAACTTCTTTGCTTCCTCTAATTTCTCAGCATATGTTGGACAAATTTCCCATCTTACAGTCCTAGTCTTTGTTCTATTTGCATTGAACTTGACCATTAACTTTGTCCTAATTCCATCCACCATGGTCCTAATTGGTTTAGCCCTGACATCTAGAACCCACTTGTTGAAAACCTCACTTAGATTGTTAACAACTAAGTCTGTTTTGCAGTTCATATCCATTGCATGTCTGGCCCAAGTGTATTTAGATATTTTGCTTAGCCATTCCCAAGCAGCCTCACTCTCATTCTTTAATGCAGCCATTGCAGTTTTAAAACCATGTTCAGTATATGAATAACTAGCTGCATCCATGTATTGCTTTAATTCAGGCCCTCTAAACCCAGCATTTTGAAAGTTCTGGTAGATATGTCTAAGACAAAACCTTTGGGGACAATTGGGAAACACTCTGGTAATGGCTTTTAAAAGGCCCTGTGTGTACAATAAGTAAATACAAGAGAGTAAATAAAGAAAGTAAATAAAGAAAGTAATTACAACCGATTACCTTCTGCCTATCTGAAATTATTGTGTAGTTCCCAAACTTCCCAGATTCTCCACCTAATGCTTGTCTCAACTGGTATAAAAACCAGGTCCAGGAGTTAGTGTCCTCCTTATCAACAATTCCAAAAGCAATGGAAAAAATATTATTGTTCCCGTCTCTTCCAGTTGCAGCTAGAATTTGTTGACCAGTAGTGAGCTTGATGAAACAACCATCCAGACCTACAACAAATAAATGAAATCACAATTGATTAGCACATGAAATCAAACATTAGTAGCACTTAGCACAAATATTATTGACTTACCTATGAATGGTCTGCAGCCATTGAGAAACCCTTCTTTGCATCTATTCAAGCATATGAACAGTGCATGAAACCTAGGGTTAGTGCTTGGATGCTCCTTCAGATATCTTGTTGTCACAATGCATCTTGAACCTGGATTTGTATCCAACACAGCCTGTAAATAATCCCTAATCCTGGTGTACTGGGCTTTCTGGTCTCCTAACACAACAGCCTTTGCTGCCCTCTTTGCCCTGTATGCCATGTGTGTTGATATGTCCACACCATACTTGCTCTTTGCAGTATTAATAATACTTGTGATTGTTGTGCATGGGTCATTTCTGATAGCCTCCTCACAGAATTTTGAAACCCACTTAGCAGTGACTTTAGTGTTCTCTGACATAGAAGGGCATGTGTGCTCTAAATACACCTTCCTAATTGTAAATGACTTCTCATTTGCAATCTGAGAAGCTGCTATATAGAAGGGACATTGCTCATCTATGCACTGTGCTATCATCCTATCACTGCAGTTTCTATGGTAGACAAAGTTCCTGTTTTGAGCAATGTGCAGGGTTTGAAGTGCAGTTCTAAACTGGTACACATTTAAGAAGCAAAGATGCTTCACAAATTGCTCCTCTGGATGAGCTATGTGCTCATCAAACCATAACCTCTTCTTCATCTTCTTTGCTCTTCTTTTTCTACCATTGGGCAACACATATGCCAATGCCTCAGCACCGTCATCATCTTCCACATCAAGGTCTTGTGGTTTCTTCTCCTCATCAGATGATGGAATCCAGTCCTCCTCAAACATGTGTTCTATACTCCCATGTGAATTGCGTGTTGGGCCTTTTCTTTGTCTCTTGGCCCTTCTCTTGTTTGGTACATCTTGCCCTAGCTCATCCTCTTGTTCCTCTTCCTCCAATTCCTCCTTCTCTTCCTCCTCTACATCATCTTCTTCACCTTGTGGCACATACAGCTCATCATCCACCTCTGAGTCACACATTTCCTCAACATCTGTGTCCCCTTCAGAATGAAGTTCTGGGTCATTCCTCTGTCTTCTCATCTCCTCAAGCCTAGCTAAGATATCACCATATTCTACTAGATCATCATCATCACTATCCACTTCATTGTCCATCACTGCTGCTTTCCTGTTCAAACAAGTCTCCTTCACTCTTTCCTTCTTGTTCAAACAAGTCTCCTTCACTCTTTCCTTCTTGTTCTTTCTAAACATTTCAATTTCATTTCTCCTTTTCTCCTCCATTTCTTGCTCTATTAATAGTTGCTCCTCTGAATTGTCAGTCACATGGTATTATTCCACTACTGCATCACCTAAAGCAGGTTCCAGGCTCACATTTATTCTGCTCTACCGTGTGTCAAACTGCAAGGGCGTTGGCTCTTGTTCTCCTCCTACATCACAACTCTCAGCTTCTACATGCACATTTTCAGCATTGAACAACACTCCTTCATCATCAATCTGATACAGTTTAGGCTCTCCAATTTATTCTATTGGGGTCTGCATCTCAATGACATTAACACTGGTATTTATATTGGGAACTTTCTCTGCACTGGCCCTAACTATTGTCACATTCAATATCTTGTTATCCTGCTCTGCTATGTGGTCCAAAATTTCCTCTAACTTATCATCATCATCTATTTCTTCCATTCCTTCAATCCCTAGCCCAGGGTCCCTCACATAATACATATAATCTCTAAAACCATACCCATCTGTCCCCATCAGTGCTAACAAATTGTAATATGTGATGTCTGACATCATCATACTCCTTTCAATATTATCTCTATCATGAAAATGCATCCTCAATTCCCAAACCTCATCTTCAAGACTGCAAATAATAATACAATAGTGCACTATAAGTACTTAAGGGAAACTGAAGCAAGCTAGTGCAGACCAGAGCAGAACATCATTTGAGTGCAACAATTCATATCCTTTTATTTACAGAAACCCTAGTTGTAAGCATCTAATTAAAGAACTATATCATTCTAATTACAGAACTATAACACACACAAACCCTAGAACTACATTAACCCCAACCCTAGCAACAGAAGGGGAATGGGACTGGGATCTCACTAGACGCCGCCGAAAGCTGAAGCAATGTGCTGGCTTCCAACTGGATTTGCCTTCACCGCCGCGGCGAAAGATCTGGCCGCCCTGAATTCCACCGAGTACTGCGGGTCCTCCTCCTCCTCCTCTTCTTCTGCCGTCGCCTTCGTAGGGTTCGAGCTCCCGCACATCTCGCCAGTGGACGGCTGGGCGCCACTGCCAGCATCGCTCGACTTC